TTTTTTTTTTTTTTTTTTTTTTTTTTTTTTTTTTTTTTTTTTTTTTTTTTTTTTTTTTTGTTCACTTTATTTTACCTAAAGTAAGGTTTTAGGGAGGCTGCATGAAAAACTGAAAAAGTGCTGTGACCAAAACAGCACTTTTCATATCAGATCATACCAGAGGTGACTGCTTATCATTTACAGCAAACAAATAAGATACTTGAAAACACTGATTTTATTTTTTTACAGAATAGTTTCCTGTGCATTATTGGGTTTGTATTAAATTTTCATTTTGAGATTTTTTTTTAATTATTATTTTTGAGTGGGAAGCTTCAATAAGGAACTCTTACAGCTCCTCCTGAGGTGTGTTGATCTTGGGAAATAAAAGATGAGACTGGATCTTAAACTTCATAACAGGAGGCAAAATAGGTTCTGAGGTATCTCTACATGTTGCCTCAAAGAATAAGCTTTACTTCTGTTAGATGAGCTCTGGGGGGAAATTCTCACTGTATCTGTATAGACACCCAAATTAAAATGATAACTGGTTCATCTCAAAAGGGAATTAGTAGGTCAAGGTTTCTTGGGTTGAAAAATTTATTACTTCATACTTTTGCTTTTCTTCCGTGACATGGAGGTGTCAGGATTTCTTGATGTAGCGCTCACTGCCACAGGGACCCCAGCCCAAACTCAAGGATTACTTATTTTTACCATAAACCCTTTGGATTGTTCTCTTGGCACTGACTCCTGTGCCCCCAGGGGTGCCCAGGGCAGGTCCTGCTGCTGCTCCTGCTCCAGGCCCGACGGGCACAGGAGGAGCAGAGTGCCAGCAGGGTGCTATCACATTCAGCAGTGCCCTGTGCTCGGTGCCCCTATCTCTCAGCATCAAAGCTGCAGGTGGGATGACTTGCCCAGCCTCGCAGCCAGCTGGCCAACCTTCAAGCACATTGAGAGCTGGTGGTGCCAACCAGCTGGGAATTAGCCCAGAGTAATAGCAGATATGGCAGAATTCCACTGGCAGGAGCAGATCTGCCATCTCGCAGGCCAACAGCCTGTTGGACTGGCGCAGTTTTGGAAGCTCAGGCAGCAGGAATCCACAAGGAAAATTTCTTCCAACGTTTGCACTTTTAGAGAAAATGTCAGGTTTGTTATGCCACTGTCAAGGGGTTCAGGCAACTGGAGCTATCAGAGAGGTTCAAGTCAAAGTGTTGACTCATAAACATCTTACAACTAATTGCCCATAATAAATGAGACACTGGAAAGGCCAGTTTTCCAATGACTTTAAGGTGAAGCTGTATCCATTGGCTGTGCTGCTGCAGTGAAGATTAGTGGTGACCTATCTCCTGAGGTGTTCAGGTGAGATGGAATTTCTTGGGAAAGATTATCTTTAGGACTTCCTGCTCTGCTCCAGCCCTGCGTGAAGGCTCCAAGGTCTCCGTGTCCCAGGCTACTCCAGGGCATGGATTGCACCAGCAGCAAAAGAGAACAGAGAACTCTCTCTAAGACCTGCTCATAGAAATGGGGAAGCCAAGAGACTTGAGGCAGTTTTAAGGTTACGCTGATCACAGTAGATGCATGAGAAGTCAGCTGGAGCTTCCAGAGACTGCAACCCCCTGCTCAGGACACAAATGTGTGCTGGAGCTGCAAGGGACCCTGAGACAGCGAGTGCTGATGCAATTCTCTGCCTTTCCAGACTCCACTGAAGCTAAACGTGCTCTTGCTAATCTGAGGCAGTCTCAGTGGGAACTGCCACTTGGTGATTTTGTGTTCCTGTGTTCCCAAGGGACAAACTGAACCGCCCTGGATTCCTCTGTGTGCAAAGGAGGTGTTTGTCAACTCCAGCTGGGACTGGGGGGGGTGGGTGGGCTGACTTTCCATCCTCATTTGTCAACGAGTGTTCTCCATCCAGAGCATCTCTGTTGAAGCCAGATCTGAAGGGTTTAGAGTTTGTAAATCGGGGCAGGGGTTGGTAGCTAAATGCTCTTGTTTTATGTGGTGTTGGAAGCTCATCCCAGGATATCTCAGAATTTCCACTCAGTCTGTACAACCGCAGCAGAGCCGGTGACATTGGTGACATCGTTGTGTTTTGGAAAAGTCTGCGTGAAAACAACTCTTACCATTAATTCTTTTCAAAACCATATCGAAATTCCCACCTTTACAACCTGCTTGTTAATGCAGAATGAGAAAACTCGAAGAATGAGAACTACTAAGAACTGAACTTTCCATAGGGTGAAATCCCTGACTGCAGTTCCTCTGAGCCACAAATGAGCAGTCCCTTCCTTTAAGAAGTTACTTTTCCCTGGTTGCAGTTTTGCAACCCCCCCAGGGCAGCCAGAGCTTGGCTCTGAGCTGCTGGGTTTTTTTTTAAGTGGAAATTCAACCCCAATATCTGGGATTATATAGAGGGGTTATGAGCATGAATAGTGAATCATAAGCTTGTTCTTTTCATTCCTGGGGCACACTTAGAACCTATTCATGCCTTCCAAAGCCTCCAAGGACCACAAGTGAAATTGTGATCCACTGATTTCAGCCTGGGCAACCTTATTTACAGGAAGATGGCCCAAGCATGGTTTAAAAAGGAAAAAAAAGGAAGGAATATAACTACA